TAATTACACCAAAATCTAAAACAATGCTCCAACAAGTAAAAACAATTATTTATCTGCGTCAAATCTGTCCTTTCTATTTTCGTAGTCGAGTGAAAAATGATTTTATCAATTTAGAGAAACTTGTTATTGCAGAGAAGAAAAAAATATTATATTGTACTAAAAAAAAATATAATCGCAAAATTCCTTTCGACATTAATTTTTTCAGCTAACTCCAGCACAAACCGTAACTACGGCAATAATTGAATAATCACAAACTTTTCCAGAATGCGCAATGTCTTAAGACATGGTGCGAGTAATGAGATTCACTATCGTCCATTTTTCATTTTCACAGTAATACCTTTTTAATGAAATTATTAAAAAATCGTTATATTTAATAGGTTAATAGATTCCTTTACTTGTATTAGTATTGCCGCGTGGTTCCGGCATAGAATAGGACACCCATTCCTATCCCGTAGATGTCGTAAAAGCTGACTAAGGGAGGGCTAGGGATGGCAGCAGCGTTCCTCTTAAGTCATCTCTAAAGCCTGATTTTTTGAAAGCGTTTCCCAATCTGCCTGCCAAGCGTGGCAACTACTGGTAAAACCCTCTAAAGGGGCCTCCCCTTTGGAGGGTTTTGCCAGTAGTTCAGCAGTGGACAATTAAAGGCTGATATGAGATGATGACGATTAGTATTGAACATCAGCAAAATGTCTATAGACAAGTCTAGATAACTTTTAGGGATGGACTATACATAGCAATATCTACATATTGTAGTTACAATATCAAATATATTGGTTTAACAAAAGGATATATTAAATATTGGTTATTCAATATATAATATCGAAATATCGCACCTGATTCAAATTAATATAATTATATTAATCCTACTGGTATGGGCAATATCGAAATAGATGGTGACCCTTTTCCGCCATCACTATCCAGAGGTAGGTACCGCAATACATAAATATCGAACGAAACGATATTATCTCGTTCTATTGAAACAGATTATTTGAATATTTCTGAGATTCTCGATTCTTTTTGCTTCGATTCGAACGATTCTTTTTACGATCTATTGAATTTATGTCCATAGTAATTTTATCATGATTAACTTACTGTTTTTATGCAATAAAATTTTAAATAATTATATATTCTTTTACTATTTTATGGCCTTATCTTAAATGAAATCATAACGCTGCTTTTATTGTAACCGATTATCAATTAAAACACAACTCAGACTATTGAGTTTAAATTATAATTTTTAACGAAATTAACGACGATTTTTTAAATTTTAATGAAATTTAATTTAACGAAAAAGAGCACTAATAAGGTGCTTTTAAAAAATAATTACATCAAAGAGTTAAACTAGGAATCTGTATCCTACCACTGCCACCATGTAATGTTTTAATGAAACCAGCCCAATGTCAGACAACAACTGTTTTAATAATATTATTCAACTACCTTCAAACTAACTATACATGACAGAATCCATAGCTTGTGTGAAAGATATCGATAAGAAACTACATCCGGCATAACAGCTTATGCCACTTTTAAAACCATATTGTTGGCTTTCTCTAGTAAATATTAGTAATATAACTAATCGAGTTAATTGATTATTTGTTTAATTGCAAGGTAGCATGGTCGGACATGCAATTGAAGTGAACTGCGAATGACAGCTGTTTTGGCGGGATCGCAGAAACCACACATTGTTTGTACAATGCGTTCCTAAACATTATATAATTTAAAATTGTGTTCCATAAAAAATATTCATTTTAAAACTTAGTTACTGAAGCAATTTTGATGAAATTTCTATAGAACCAATCTGTAAGTATATGTTTTCAGGTAAAAGAAAAATTTTCCGAATCGGTTTACAATTGTCGGAGTTATTAGGTCCTCCTTTTCATTTAAGACTTTACTATTGTCAATGCAACTAATTCGTGCATTTTCTTCCAGCCAGCTCTATCCTATGCTATTTCTTTGACCTCTCTATACGACATGGCAGCTATTGTTCCCTTTATCTGTCCCATGTAGTTATGTGGTAACAAATATTTATTCATTATTTTTATTGTTGTTTGTGTTGTGTTGTTGTGAAGAAAGAAAAAACATAAAATAAATACAACCGAATTGTAAACTTTCAACATTTTAAAATCTGTTGAATAAAAAATAAATATTCACTTAACAATTGAACACTTATAAATTGTACCAACAGTCAGTGTCTGTTAAAAACAATCTGCTGTGAGTCAGATTTATGCAGCTCTTAAAACAGACTCGAGTCCGGTGAAACTACGACTGGTAACTTTCGTTTCTTACCTCAAAAGTTTTATTTTAGCTACTGTATTGGTCAGAGCTGGATTTAGACTAAATAATTATTAAATAATATAAAGTCTATTTTAATCAAAAATAATAAATAATAGCTACTGCCTCTTTTCTTTTCTCCTCTATCTCTCAAAGGTTGTCTGGAAGAGATTGCTTTAGCGATGAGACCGCTCTTTACACTTCATAAGTGTAATATATACATATATGTTTGTGTTATTTTTTACGGGAAGGAAAGGGATTGTTAGTGATGGGATCTAACAGCCATTACTAACATCATACCATCGTGGTTAATTCTTATTATTTTCATCACCATTTCTGTATCATCGTGATGAATACACCCCGGATTCAGCACGATGTTTTCCAGAGGAGACCACATGACAGGTCGACCTGACAGGCTATATTGCTAGCAATAGTACTGTTAGTCCACGTTACTAACAATCCCTTTCCCCTGACTATAGCTATGTTATCACTTGAATCCTTCATTAAAAGCACTCAAGATTCACTTAAAAGTTTGACCTCCTAATGGTTAAGTTTTAAGTCGATTCCTGCATTAATTTTGATTTTCAATTGCGTTCAGAAATTGTCATAATTATGCCGAATGCCATATTTCCAGTTGTATAAGGATTAATATTCATTAAATGTGTTCCGACATCCTCTTCTAATTCCGTTATCCATTCGTACTAATATATACCCATTAACTTATTAACAACTCCAATTCAAATTTTCGCGCCGACCGGCGACCTCTGTGTTTGAATGTTAAACGAAAAATCATTATGGCGGTCGCTAGTACCTGAGCTTGTGTCGCTCATACTCTAGGCGAAAAAAGACTAGAAAATCTGTGGAAATTCGCGTGCCTGTTACTTGCTAATTGTGACCCTAACCAGTGTTGGTGTGTGGAAAAGGAGTCAAAGCCATAGGGTGCACCCAAGGTCTTTAACTACTCAGCAAGTTAACCCGGTCGGTGAGTCCTACTTTCTCCTTTCTATATCCGTCAATGCATGCTCTTCTGCTGGATTCTAAGGATTCCTTATATATCTTCTAGGCAGGTGAATAAAATCCCATAGCTTTGCTCTGAAGTTTGTCGTCATAATTTACCATCTAAGTTGGTCCTTCGAGCCGGATTTATTACGAATTTATAAATATAATTTAATTATTTTTATAATATTGCTTTGAAACCTTTTATTCAAAATTAATCGTTATAATTCTTTTCAATTAGTCGAGTCGCGATTTATATTTACTGATTTTATTTTGTAAGCGGTAGATTGCTATTTTTTATTCGCCTACCTTGTATTAAAATTATTGGTTTGTGCTCGAACTATAAATAAAAGTCGTAGTAGTATGATTATTATAAGATAGGCAGTGTTGTAACATTAGGTATTTTATTTATATGGTCATATTTATATGGTCATATTTATATGGTCATATTTATATGGTCATATTTATACAGTCATCTGCGATTGTTATAATTATAAATACATATTGGGACTTTGGTAAATATTAATAAAAATAGGACACATTGGTTACCTATATCTACCTATTAATAGTGAATCTATTATCAGTTTAAATTTTATACTTAATTTAAAATGGCAAAAGCATCTGACCACCTACAAAAACGGTTGGAAGCGGAGATTAAATCATTGATTTCACGACGGGAACATGATTTTCGATCAATACAAATATTATACGACATATCTAGAGAAGTACAGAAAGATAAGACTAAAATATCTAGTTTTCGTGCCCGATACAAAAATATAGAATCTCTCAAAGAAAGTTTTTATAATATGAGTCAAACGATTAACATGAAATATTTGGAAGCAGGATTGAGTAATGAACCCGACACAAAAATCTTGGAATCCTTTGACGAATTATATTATGGTGTCATTGAGATTGCTCAGTTAGTTATCGATACAAAACCGTCGGATTCCACGGTTATTCCAATACCTACCTCTAACATTGAAAATAAGACATGTCAAGTTCGTTTACCAAAGCTTCAAGTACCCACTTATGACAGCAATATAACAAATTGGCAAACTTTTAAAGATAGTTATTTACCATTAATACACAATAACAATTCGTTGTCAGATATAGAAAAAATTCATTATTTAATTTCATGTTTGTCTGGGTATGCCCTAACGATCGCAAAAGGCGTTCCATTGACCGCCTCGAATTATTCGGTGGTGTTTCAGGCTTTGCTAGACAGATATGATAATAAACGTGTATTAGCCACTGCATATCTCGATAAAATTTTTAATCTACCTACTTTAAACAAAGTATCGATCGCAGGTTTAAATGCCTTAACAAATACATTATATGAAAGTGTGAATGCACTTCGGGCATTGAATATCGAATCACTCGATGAGGTTATATTGTTTTACTTAGCGGCCCGCGCACTAGATGTCGACACTCGTCAACGTTTCGAGTTACAGAATAAAGAGGAAATACCAACGTTTGAAAGTTTGTTATCTTATTTACAAAATTATATAAAGATTTTAGAAGTTAGTAATTCTTCTTTTTCTTCACAAGATAATAATATGAAATCATATAGAAATAAAGTTGAGGTATACAGTCCACGTAATAAGCAGTCGAAGTCGTCTTTTGTTTCTTCCACTACTACTAGTGAGAAACAAAATCTACGTAATGACTATAAACTTAATTGTCCATGTTGCCATTCTTCACATAGCATTTATAAGTGTTTTAAATTTCAAAAAATGAGTGTCGATGCTAGACGTCAATTGGTTACCGAGTTTAATTTATGTTCAAATTGTTTACGATCGGGCCATAATTCAAACAATTGTTTATCAAAGGTAAATTGCTTCATTTGTGCCTCTCGACATAATACGTTTTTACATGTGGACGCATCGTCATGCGCCCCGACTACTAGTAGTACATTGTTACAAATTGACAACCCTGCTCCGAACTTGTCTATGAGTGACAACAAAAGGGACAAGCCGATTCAAGTCAATGATTCAAATATTGCTTTAACGAGTGCGGCGTTTCTAACGAGTGGGGTACAGTCAACAAAAATTTTAGGTTCTGCAACAATTCGAGTTCGTGACTCCTATGGCTATTTGCATTATGTATGTGCACTCATCGATAGCGGTAGTATGGATTCATTTATAACTAGTTCCTGTGCTCATAGGCTTGGATTGCCTATGCGTAGGTGTAATATGTCGGTAACTGGACTAGGCCAAAATTCTGTACAAAATATAAAGGGCGTTACATGCGGTTCCATTATACCTAAGTATAGTAGTGAACCACAATTTGAATTGCCTTTAGTCGTTATTAAAAAAATTACATCAAATATTCCTATTGTTCCATTACCATCAGGCGTTCGAGAAAAATTTAGTCATTTATGTTTAGCTAATGAGAATTTTGACAAACCATGTAAAATAGATATTCTGTTGGGTGTAGAATGTTTCGATCGTATCTACGACGGAGGTCGTTATACTCCAGGTCCTGAGTACCCGTGTGCGTTATCAAGCGTGTTTGGATGGGTCATCACTGGTCAATTACAACATAGTGAGGTGCTGTCACCTATAAAAGACATGACGTCACTCTTAGTATCGACCTGTCAGTTAGATGATGTCGTACAACGTTTTTGGGAGACCGAAGAACCTCCATCAGTTCGTATAAAGATACCAGAATATGACATATGTGAACAACAGTATAAGAAATGTACCTATCGAGATACTAACGGTCGATATATTGTGCCTATAATGTTAAAAGAGAATTACTCTGATTTAGGTAGTTCAAGTGAGCTTGCCTTAAACCGCTTTCTGAACTTAGAGAAACGTCTGTCACGTGAATCGCATTTAAAGTCCGAATATGTGGACTTCATGCGCCAATACGAAGAAATGGGTCACATGGTGCAACACAAAAATGCATCCTCTAATAATACGTATCTCATTCCTCACCACTGTGTGCTCAAACCAGAGAGCACAACTACTCGTTTACGTGTTGTATTCGATGCTAGTTGTCCTACGACAAACCGTAGATCTTTAAATGATATTGTCCATGTAGGTCCGAAACTCCAAATCGATATTGTCGACTTGATTACTAAATTTCGCCTGCACGTGGTTGTATTTACTGCAGATATATGTAAAATGTATCGACAGATACTCATTCGACCTGAAGATAGGTCATACCAACACATATTCTGGCGCAAAGATCCTAACGACCCACTTAAAGAATATGAGTTGAATACGGTGACGTATGGTGTTAGTAGTTCACCTTATCTGGCAATAAGAACATTGCGTCAATTAGCTGAGGATTATGAGTCTCAGTTTCCTCTCGCTGCCCAAGTAGTGCGAGAAGATACCTTCATGGATGACATTACTACAGGAGCTGTCTCTATAGAAGCTGCTAAATTATTAAAAGATGAGCTAGTGGCTCTATTGCAGCTAGGCAAATTCGAACTGCGAAAATGGAGCAGTAATCATTCAGAAGTCCTTTCTAACATTCCATTCGAGCATTTACAATCGACTAAATTGTTCACTGAACCTAGTAGTGAACATACATTAAAAATTTTAGGTATTAAGTGGGATCCGCTGACTGATCAATTTTCCTATTCCTTTTCTAACGATTTCAAGCTAGAGTACACAAAAAGATCAATCTTATCAATAATAGCCAGAATTTTTGATCCACTTGGTTGGATTTCTCCAGTTGTATTTTGCGCAAAACTGTTGCTACAAGAGATGTGGCGCTTAAAATTAGCTTGGGATGAACCAATCCCACCTAATCTTGCCAAGCAGTGGCACATTCTTGCTGCAAATTTATCAGATTTACGATCAATTAAGCTATCACGTCTAGTACTTCCTTCTGGTCCATCGGAGATACATCTTGTAGGATTTTGTGATGGTAGTTCCAAGGGCTACGGATGTTGTGTGTATTTATGTGTAGTGACTCTGCAAGGTACCACAACTAATTTACTTATAGGGAAATCTAAAGTCGCCCCCTTGAAACCCTTAACGACTAACAGGCTGGAGCTATGCGCTGCTGTTTTGTTAGCACGAGTGTTAAATCATATGTATGAGCTATTAAAATCGAAATTAAATATAAAATCAGTTAGAGCATTTACGGACAGCAGTACTGTCTTGTCTTGGCTGCGAACGGCACCTCATCTTCTTAAAACTTTCGTAGCAAACAGAGTCGTCCAAATTACTGATTTGATCAGTTCAGAATTGTGGTTCCACGTTTCGACACATGATAACCTGGCAGATTGTTGTAGCAGAGGTACCACATGTGATGTTCTCACTACTCACAAACTGTGGTGGACCGGTCCTCCTTGGCTCCATCAAACACCTCTCAATTGGCCTGTTCAAAATGTGTTTATACCAGAGCAAGAGTTACCGGAATTAAAACCACTAGCATCCGATTGTTTTATTAGTACAGTTTCACATAATTTACTTACACAATTGATTTCAAAATTTTCTTCTCTCATAAAACTTCAACGAGTTCTAGCTTGGTGTTTACGATTCATTAAAAATATAAAAGCACATAAAGATATGCGCAATTTTTCCACATTATCAACAGTTGAGATAGATGAAGCTTTAATTATTTTGTTAAAATATACCCAAAAGAATTTCTTTTTTCAAGAGTTAATACGTCTTCAAAATAATTTACCCTGTATAAAGTCTATTCAAAAGTTAAATCCTTTCCTTGATGAGGTAGGTTTAATACGAGTGGGGGGTCGCATTCGTCATGCAAACTTGCCTCACTCAGCAAAACATCCTATTCTTTTGCCTAAACTATCCCTTTTATCACAACTAATCGTTGACAGCTATCATCTGAAGTATTTGCATTGCGGTCCTCGCACATTGCAATCATTTATCCATAGAACCTTTTGGATACTAGGTGTGCGACTGTTGATACGCTCTCGCCTCTCTAAATGTATCATTTGTTTTAAATCTAAGCCGATTCCCAGTCAACCTTCAATGGGCGACTTGCCAGTTGAAAGATTACAAACAGGCAGATGTTTTCAAACCACGGGCATAGATTTCGGTGGTCCATTCATGCTGAAGGAAAGTAGACGTAGAAATGCGCGTACATATAAGGCTTGGATTTGTTTATTTATCTGTCTCAGCGTAAAGGCCGTACACTTGGAAGTAGTTACGGAACTAAGTACAGAAGCCTTTCTTGCTGCCTTAGATCGATTTGTTTCGAGGCGCAACATTTGTCACAAAATTATCACAGACTGTGGTACTAATTTTATAGGTTCAAATCGTCATTTGAATGAAATGTATAAAATGTTTTTCGAAAATCGTTCTGATATTGCTGATGGCCTCGCTGTTAGACATATCAGCTGGGAGTTTAATCCACCAAGCGCCCCTCATTTCGGCGGGATTTTCGAAAGTGGAATTAAATCTACAAAGTACCACTTAAAACGGATAGCAGGCGCGCAGGTTTTGACATTAGAAGAAATGATAACTATAGTCACAAAAATTGAAGCCATTTTAAATTCTAGACCTCTGTGTGCTCTTTCTTCTGACCCTGATGAGGTTAATGTGCTTACACCAGCTCACTTCCTCGTAGGTGGACCTCTAATTGGTCTACCTGAAGTTCCACTAGAAGACAGCAATGTATGTGTACGCTCTCGTTGGCAAATGCTTAAAAAAATTACACAAGTGTTCTGGCGCACCTGGCAACGAGATTATTTACATACACTCCAACAAAGAAATAAATGGTTAGAAAACCGAGGGAGTGTTAATGTTAACGACTTAGTGATTTTAGTTGAATCAAATTTGCCAACTTTATCATGGAAATTGGCTAGAATAGTGCAGGTGCATCCAGGCCCTGATAATATAGTTCGCGTAGTATCAGTAAAAACTGCTAGCGGCAGTGTTTTTCGACGTCCTGTCGTAAAAATTTGTCCTTTACCAATGTAATAAAATAGTAAGTTAATTTAAAATTTTACTTATCCATTATATAAATTAAGATTTATAATAATACTCTAGTTATATAGTTTATAAGATTTTATTTGTTTATTAATGTAAACATAATTTTATTTTAATTAATTCGAGCACAGCCAGGTATGTGGAATCCTTTTGAATTCCAAGTGGGGGGTATGTTCCGACATCCTCTTCTAATTCCGTTATCCATTCGTACTAATATATACCCATTAACTTATTAACAACTCCAATTCAAATTTTCGCGCCGACCGGCGACCTCTGTGTTTGAATGTTAAACGAAAAATCATTATGGCGGTCGCTAGTACCTGAGCTTGTGTCGCTCATACTCTAGGCGAAAAAAGACTAGAAAATCTGTGGAAATTCGCGTGCCTGTTACTTGCTAATTGTGACCCTAACCAGTGTTGGTGTGTGGAAAAGGAGTCAAAGCCATAGGGTGCACCCAAGGTCTTCAACTACTCAGCAAGTTAACCCGGTCGGTGAGTCCTACTTTCTCCTTTCTATATCCGTCAATGCATGCTCTTCTGCTGGATTCTAAGGATTCCTTATATATCTTCTAGGCAGGTGAATAAAATCCCATAGCTTTGCTCTGAAGTTTGTCGTCATAATTTACCAAAATGTATTCATAAATGATACATTCCTAATGCGTGGATGTAAGGACTATGTACCATTTAGTTGGTTTAAACAACTATGGGTATTCGTGAGGCGGATTACAGTACTGGAATCACTATTTGCTAGCTGTATCCCGCGGATCCGCTCTCGTGAATAAGTACGTAAAGTATCCTATGTGCTAAGTTAGAATATAACCTACCTGTATACCAAATTTAATTCAAATTCGTTCAGAAGTTTTTACGTGAAAGAATAATAAACATCCATCTATCCATCGTTACTTTGCACATTTATAATATTTATTTTATTAATATTAGTCGTAAGACAAAAATAAATGTTAGAGTTAATAATTTAGATATAAAAGAAAACTTTTTGGCACAGTTTTAAAAACTTTAGATCATTCGATTTGACTATTTGATTTTATCAAGCTCTTGACGTCGTGACTATGCTACATATATATATATATATATATATATATATATATATATATATATATATATATATATATATATATATATATATGAGGAGGTTTATGTTCAGCAGTGGACAGTTAATGGCTGATATGATAATAATGATTTTGTGTCTTCGTCCGTAGTCGTGACGTGATACCTTTCAGCGTACCTTTCTCAAGGAATGAGCTATCTATTGCAAAAACATATTTTTCTAATCCAACTGGTGTTTCGAGAGATTGGCACGTTCAAACAAACAAACCCTTTGCTTTATTATATTTGTATACATTTATTACCAATTGTACCAATAGAAGAAAGAGATTGTTAGTAATGGGGTCTAGTTTCCTCATCACTAGCAATACACCCTATCGACCTCCACACGGTTCCTCCTGGAAACCATCGTGACTAATTTATTGTTAAATTCTTCACGATGGGCTAACTGACCTCCCTTTTCACCTTCATCAATCATCCCTCACTTGCGCTCCGCCAGCGTATATCATTGGTACAGGTGGGGCTACCATTCCATTATAATCTATTAAAAAAAACTAATTAATATAACTAGCCAATTGTTCTTGAAGTAGTGCAACAAAGAGTTAATAAATAAATAATTGATCTCGATATTGTGTACGCAGATGCACCTAAATATCTGATTCGATCGAACCATAAACGCTTTAACGTGAAATAATAATAATAATTCTTTATTGTGCACAAAAGAGATGTGTAAAAGGAGAATTTATACAAAATATGCATATACAAAAGGCAGTCTTATCGCTAAAAGCAATCTCTTACAGACAAACTGAAAATACTAAAAAGTTACAACATTAAAAAATAGCAATACCACTTTGATTTAAGTTTATCATAAATTATATTAAGTTGATATATTACCAACTGTTATTTAAAATGATCGATGAAGAAGCATTTCAAAACATCGGATCATACATGTGAATGTTACAATATAAACAAATATAAATTCAGAGACGTTTTCAAAAATACAACCCCTTTTTTAACATTATACTATACTCATTGTCTCCCCTAAATCCAACACTGTACGCAATTCCTCTGAATATTCGTTTCGAAAATTCGTTACTGTGCTTTTATGAGTTTTCACTGGCACTTTGAGTTCTATTCATAGAATTTCCCAAGGATTTAATCATATAGTTTCTATTTTTGTTAAAATTCGCTATGGTAAAGCTATTCTAAGAAGAGTCCAAATTTATTTAGCCGTAGAATACTTTTTCTATGATCTTATTAATCTAATTTAATAATTTTTTTATTTTTTCTAAATCCTTACTACTATTATAAGCTAATGGATTCACCCCGGCTTCGCACGAGTAGATAGAAAGATAATATAGCCTATGTTAATCACTGATAATATACCTTTCTTTTGAAATTATTTTTATAATCGTTTAAATATTTGGTTTGTGAAATTATTCGTTACAAACAATTAAATCTTATCAATCTATGTAGTAAAATACTTTTATTCCAGCCATACAGAGGAAGTTGCCGGAAAAAGCTAGTATATAATATTAATTTATATGATGTTTATATATATAGATTAATATTGGATGTTTGGATGTCCGTCACTCAGTATAAATTTCTAAAATCTGCGTGGAAAAAGCCGTCAGTAACAGCTAGTATTAAAATACTAATAGATTATTTTACGCGCCTGTCACATTGTCATCAATATTTTAAAACTCGTCTCTTAATAGCTCGTAGGAGTTCGTACGTAAGTTAGTGCCTCGTAGGTAATCTCTCCGTAGGAAATGACAGTCGCAGGTGTACCTTCCCGTCGCCAACTGCTAATAGCTTTTAGACAGCACCAGCTTTAGTGGGGTGAATGTTATCGATAAATTTTTATCGATACTTCCTTCCTAAATAGAATGCAAACGAATCTATAGATAAATAAATAAATAAAAATAAACGCGATTGACTTTTTTGTGACCTATCTAAGGTTTTCGATTGTCTAGACCCATTGCTGAAAAAACTAGCTTTTTATGGTGTTAAAAACAATGCTTAAATTTAATTAAATCATATTTATCAAATAGAATTCAAAAAGTAAACAAGTATATTTGAATAAAGGTGATTTAAATTTAAATTTGAAAATAGAATCGATTCTCTATACTTTTGTTTTTAACATACATATTATGTAATATCTTAGCTAATTCCAAACTAGTTTTGACAATTAATTTTCGAATCTATTTTCCTGTCAATATGATATTAATTGTGTTGCAATTGACTTTTTTATTATATTTTGCTTATTGCAAAATCAATTAAAAGTTTATTATGAATAAGTACACAATCCCGCATTCTAAATTAAATTAAAATTGAGTATCACATAAAAAGGTTTTCAGATGTGGCAAAAGCAGGTATTATGGTTTAAACACAAATCTACTGAATTGATTTTGATAAAATTTTTGTAGGACCAATCTGAAAGATATAATATGATAAAAATTTTCAAATTATACACTAACTGACGGAGTTATGAGGTAACAAACATAAAAAATAGTACCTAATTGAGAACCTTCTCCTTTTTTTTAAGACGATAAGACAAATAATTTGAAATTTATACAGAGAAAGAGGAAATATATTTGGTTTTATAATAAAAATCGATGTATATAATAGATTCATTAAACAAAAAGTAAAATTTCGATAAGTGTCTAGAATAATCCCCATCACTAAACAGCAACCGAGATGACATACAGTAATGGGCGAATGCAACGCCATCTGGTACCAGCAAGGAGAATTAGCCAACAAGCTGTCTTCCCACTAAAATTGGTACATATGCCCTTAACATAACATGTGTACTTGCTTAATTAACCGTGAGATTTTGAGCCTTAACACAAGGAGGTAAGGTTAAGACAATGTAAATATGTACTGTTATGTGACACAGCTGCGTTTGGATACTGTTATAAGATTTTATGAGTGTCTAAGTACCTATCTTTTACGAGTAAATGACTGAGTTCTAAGAAAATATATATTTGTATATACGTATTAGAGTATAGAGATCATATATCCGGGTAACTCGCAATTTATCCGGAAAGGATAAGGAAAAAGTTCTAGACTTCTATATTGACACGAAACGTAGATATTTGTTATTTTTGTCTATACCTCTTAAATATTTGTAATGCTATATACTCGAAGGGATATAATTATAAAGGGATTATGAAGGGATGAAATTATAGTACTTTCTACTACCCCTACTAGTAAGAAATTATAGTACTTTCTACTACTAGGGGTAGTAGAAAGTATTATGATTTCATAGCCATATAAATTATGGTACTTTATTCTGTATACCTTGGACTGCCTTTCGAACTAACGTTTCCATTCTGAATGAACTGAAAATCAGAGAGAGATTGTCGTCAACTGTTCGTATACGAATTCTCAAATACTTCGGCCATATCATCCGGAATGAAGATTGTATGAAACGTTTAATTGTCCAAGGAGCGGTACAAGGCAAACGTTCTCGGGGTAGATCGCCAACGCGATGGACTGACCTCATCAAAACGGCCACACAGAAATCTATTGTGGAATGCTCTCGCTCGGCGGCGAACAGAAGTAGATGGAGACATATTGCGAGGACCTCAATCGCGAAGGAGAGCCTCACCGACGATCCACCGTCATTGTGAAAACCACGACCACTCTGCCAAGAGTGTACGACTGAAGAGAGAGATTCTGTATAGTGATATAATTAATATGAAATCAACAAAGGGTTTAAAATCTGCAAATTAAAAAAATAATTATTCAAATTAATTTAGATTCAGCGAAGTCATCGTAAATAAAATAAATAAAAAGAACCAGCATATTTATAAAGAAATGTTATAAAAAAAGTACTGTACTCATACTACGAGTATGTTTTTTTATGCAACTTAGAATGGCTAACAAGCTGACGGCCCACTTGATGGAAAGTGGTAACCGTCGCCTATAGACATAAGCAGTACCATGGACATAACAAAGTATACTGATTCGCCCATGACACCCCCCCATCCGAGATATTATCTAAATATTCCCAAAATTTCAACAGTTAATATTTTTTTTATAACTACTACACTTATTTCTCGAAAACACCTGTAAATAAGAGAATCGTATTTTATATAAATAGTTTATATAATTTAAATACAAAATGTAAAGAGAATAATTTAAACTAACCCGACTAGATCTTACAAACTCGAACTGACATCAGGGGCTTTAAATTTCATCCAAATAATTAACTGTGGAACTCAATTATATTGAGTTAATTGTTAAATTAATTAAAAATTCGTAGCGCCCTCTCGCTCGTCCGAAATTATTCTCTTTTAAGAATCGCAGTAATCTAATATTAAAATGTATAAATATGTCTGTAACTGTGGATTAATATAATTTCCGGTTTTAATTTTTCCTTTAAAAATTAAAAAAAAAATATTTTTTTTTTTATTTTTAAAGCTGTTGTTTCAAAATATAAATAGATATTGTGTAAACATTATACTTCCTTCGAAGCAAGTAAAATTTGTTCTGCAAAAATAAAGTGGAGTCAATTGCAAAAAAATGGGGGAAATGTATTGTTAGCGATGAGGTCTAACAGCCCCATTGCTAGCAATCTTACTAATCATCGTTACCTTTCGTGAAAATCTTCATGATGGGCTAACTGACCTGCTGCTTTCATCCTCATCTATCATCACCCATTAAAAAAAAATCACAACAAAATAATTGACTAATGTGTCTACGAAACGTCTCATTTTTATTGTTGCATTTTACTCCAAACTTGGTATTTACTGCACCTCTGCTCGCGAGAATCAGTATATAGTAATAAAGTATCTTATATGTTACCATTCGCCGTGTAGATCCCGGTATAGAATGGATCACCCCTTCCTTTCCTGTGGTTGTCATAAGAGGCGACTAAAGGAGCTTATGGTGAAGGAATGGGCAGCAGCGTCCCTCTTAAAACCTTTGTAAAAACCTAAATACAGTTGGCAATCCACCTGTCAAGCGTGGCAACTACTGGCAAAACTCTCCTTATGAGGAAGGTTTATGTTCAGCAGTGGTCAATTAACAACTGAAATAATAATAATAATATGTTAGGATGTAACCTACCCATGTACAAAACTTTATTCAAATTTGTTCAATATTTTTGTGTGAAAGAGTAGCATCCATACATACTCACCAAATTTCGTAATTTCGTATGTACAATATTAGTAAAATTAGTAAAATATTCTATTTCATAATAAAAATAATAACATTACTTATTAATAATATTTTTATCATAATCAAATTATTAATTTTTATATTGAAAAAAATTTACTTCTTAAGTCTAAACTGCAAATCGAAAATTTAGTTACTGGTCAATATTAATATTGTGATCGGAATCCAATATTTTATTCGCGCCAAAATCTACATGTGAATTCTAACGTACAAATATAAAGTTTTCTACTCTTTACTTTATGATATTACCACAGATAATATAATACTATATGGTATTATGTAGAATATACGTCTATTGTCACAAATCTTAAAAATAACTATCCATTTGTAACAAAAAGATTCTCAATGACAGCATAAAATATACTGTATACACACCCACTTTTGCGTTTTATTTACCAGTCTATTTAATCGCCGTTTATTATAATTTACTTTATTATACAGAATAATTTTTTATTTAAGTATATTTTGTGCAAAGATATTTCTAAGCGGCAGCACAGAATATACCGTGACACACCCCCTCACAACACTCAAGGCACGCGTCCTACTTACCAGTCTACTTAATCGCTCTTTATAAATTATGATCATAACATAATCATTACGTGTCCGTAGTAAGGGATGTTCTCGCTCTCAGCCTCTCAGCCTCCAGTTCATTTTCTACCGAGCTAAGGGATGCACGCATCTCCCTTGCAATAGCGGGAAATCGCGAGCTTCGATTCGAAACTTATTTCATCTTTTTAAAAAAAGAACTATAATTTATTCAAAATATCTATTCCAAATATAAATTTAGATAATGTTGTGACACGTTTCGGTTGTTAAAGATTTTTTACGTGTAACTCGTAACAATGGATTTGACTTTTTGGAAGTTGTTTCTCGTCCTTTCTTCGTGTTTTACTGGTGAGGAGATGTTTCAAAATTTATTTTATTAAGTTTTATTTCATTAAAAACAAAAAAATATTATCTTTTAGATTTTACTAATGTATAAATAAATAAATGTTAAATGTATATAAATTATGAGTAAAATTCATTAATTATAAAATCACAAACACTACTGTAAAAATTTTTGAAATGAGCTAAGGGATGCACGTATCTCCCTTGCAATAGCGGGAAATCACGAGCTTCGATTTGTAATTTATTTTATCAGTTTAATATAAATTTAGATAGTGTTGACATTTAGATTCTTACAATTCTTACAATAGACATTTCGGTTCTTGAAGATTTTTTACGCGTAACTCGTAATAAAAGAGTTGACTTTTTAGAAGTTGTTTCTTGTCGTTTCTTCGTGTTATACTAATGAGAAAACGTTATAAAATTTATTTAATTTTAAATAATAAATTCTATTGAGATATAAATAATTCAAAGATCATGTATATAAATTTTACTTAAAATTAATTAGATATAAAGTTATAAACACTTCTACACTGAATTTTATAACTAACTATAAAGGTTGGCCTTTGTACGAGATACGATTTGAAATTAATATTATCTGTTAAATAAAGAAATATAATTTATTCCAAAATATAAATTTTTATAAGTTTGTTATAATACTTTTAATTTTTTGTAAATTGTTTCATGTCCACAAGGCAAAATAAAGTAAATCTGATTATATTTAGTTTAATTTTAAATAGTGATTATTTGTAACTACAAGTACAATAAACATATATTTGAATTTAAAACAAGTTAATATTTTTTATGTAAAAAACTTATTTCAATCATAAATACACATACATTAACCGATAAATGACGATATTTCAGAAAGGAGCATCCGTAATTTCATTTGAATTATGAACGTAGAATCACGTGTTTATATATAAATTTTGCTTCGCAACAAACGGTCTTTTGGTACAAAAAGAGACATATTTTATCCTTACAAAATTAATACGGGACTAACATGCGAGCAAACTGAATTGATTGTAAAAAAAAAGTAAAAGTCAGTTCAGAATTGTGACGTAATCGTGTAACATCATAGCTATAGAATGAATTTTGGAAGGTATTTTTAAAAAGTATTAGTCTATGTTTGGCGGAATTACTTTTGTCATTTTTTACTGTTAACCTTATCTAAGTTGACCATTGAGAATATTGTTGATAACGTATTTACAAGGCGAAAATGAAGTCATTAACTGTATGTAAAACTAAGAATCTATAATCTATGGTATAGACCATTTTTTTATCAGACTGTCCACTGCTGAACATAGCCTCCCCCATAAAGGGGTTTTGCCAGTTACACTTGGCAGGCGGGTTAACAACCGCAGTTTGGCTTTTGGTGATGTTTAGAGGGACGCTGCTGCCCATCGCTCGCCCTCCCTCAGTCGCCTCTTACGACACCCACAGGAAAGAAAGGGGTGGCCTATTCTATGCCGGGACCTACATACATGCATTTGTCGCGTTATTATGAGAAACTTAATTTATTTGGCGTTTTTCGACTCATGTTTCTTTAATGTAAACATTCAGTTTCACTTGTAGAATACTTCCTTCAAAGAATACAAATGACTTCGAGTTCAATTTATATATAAAAACTATGTATCATCATCATATCAGCCATTACCTGCCGTTACACTGCTGAACATAGGCTTCCCCCATAAATTGCCACAAGGAATGGCCCTGAGCCACCTGCATCCACTGACTCCCTGCAATTTGAGGGCGTCACTCCATATAATGGATACTACTACACTGTATTAGCGCATACGAGTCGCCACCCAAGAACTTTTCTTCTTCATCAGTTGCCAGTCTTTCGAACTATGTGATTAGCATACTGTCACTTCAGTTTGCTTATCCTTCAGGTTATGTCAGTCACTTTGGTTCTGTTGCGGATATCCTTATTTCGGAGTCTATCACACAAAAAAAAAACTTCTAGCATTACTCTTTCCATAGCCCGCTGAGTAAATAGATTTTTTGCGTACAATCAACCACGTAAGACCATGTTCTAGTTCTATAGGTCAACATCGCCAACAAAAATAAAAATTGTGTATGAGTACTAGTATAGTATTATATTATCTGTGGTATGAGACATGGAAATTGTTTAAAATATGCATCCTTGTTATGCAGTTCCAACCATAAAAATGTAATTAAAATTATGATGTCAGATAAAAATGGAATAAAGACTTTATGGCTGTACTAACTGTGCCCTGCAGCTTTGTCTGCAAATTGGGCAGAGGGGTTGTTATAATTAATGAGTTATGTTCATGAGTAATTTAAAATGAAATAACATTTATGCAGTTATACACCAATCAAGATTATACTACTAATTATGACATAATATACCAATCATACGATACTAACGATAGCAATATTTTCAAAACTACTATCTTTTACGCTGCCTGCAAGTCTATGCGAATAGATTGCCCGTTTTCTTACCGAATGGAGCATTAAGGCCGTAGTCAACGATACATGCTCAAACTCTAAACACGTGAATGCTTGTATCTCGCAAGGTTCTATGCTATCTTCGATCTTGTTTCTTCTGTATATAAATTACTAGTTGCATATTAATAACATTTCGAAACTTCTTTTAATCCGGTTTCGATTGAAGGCAAAGGAAATCTTGTCCAAATTAACTCCAAGAAGACACAAGTCTGCACGTTCACTACAAAAAAGACACCATATGTCGTATCTCCTGAAATTGAGAACCCTTTGATAGTAAGCCAAATCTGGGGATCCTTGGAGTTAATATGTCCAGCGACGTCTAGTTTTGCGGTCATTTGAAGGAAAAAGTTAAAATAGCATAAAAAAATTAATATGTTCAACAGAGTGAGAGTATTTCACGCCTCAGATCGCTTAAAATTATATAAAGCTCAAATCCAGTCACATACGAAATACTGCTCTGACCTTTGGGGTAGAGCAGCAATATCATTGGGCTGCATACAACGTCGAGCGACTCGGATTATCGATGAGCTATGTCTTGTCGATCAACTTAATCCCATAACATTGCATCTCTACACAACATGTCTATGTTGCATCTCTTTACGTCTTACTGCATTTATGAGTAGTATTCAGAGAAATTATTTAAATTTCTTGAAGGTTATGTTACGACAACATAACCTTCAAGAAAGGAGCATATTCCTTTTTAAAAGGCCGGCAGCACACCTGCAATGCCGTAGGTGTTGTGGGTGACCATGGGCGGCGGTTGTCACTTACCATCAGGTGAGCCGCATGCTCGTTTGCCCCTGTGTTGTAAAAAAAAAATTACTACCAGCTACAAAATTTCATCACCCACATATAAGCAGTCACATGCTAAAGTTCCATCCTGATCATATGGATAAATCCGCCATGCATTTCTGCAGTCATTTTCTTTCATGCCTAATCAAAGTATGGAACCTACTTCCAGCAGCAAAGAACAGATACGACATTAAAACCAAGAAAAAAGCGTTGTCCTTTTTAAAAGCTGGAAACACACCTGCAAATTTTTTTGATGTTGCGGATGCCTATGGGCTGTGGTGATCGCATTATCAGGTGAGGTGCATGCTCGTTTGGCTCTTATGTCATCAAACGATTAAATTGGTTCATTATTGGTGAAAATGTCACCCAATGTACGAAAAATTACTGTAGAACTGCAAATCTCCTTTTGAATTCGCTTAAAAATAATTCCTAAACACACAATTACATTTTGAAACAAGCAGCTTATACTGGTATTAAAGGGTCGGTCGGGTAAACAAACAGAAAAATGTCATTGTAAAGAAAAAAATAGGACAAACACAAACAGGAATTTGGTTATATCTGAGAGCATCAAAACAGAAAAGGGTTCCACTATAAAGTGTAACGGTTATGTTGGACATTTTTTCAAGCGTTAGAGAAAACCAACGCAAGTGATTCGCATAGTTGAGGCGTGGTTATAATATAAGCTTATAGCGAGCAAGTACGTGCTTTAGTACGCTAATCTATCCGTTCAATATTTCCATTAATTTTTTAAACATTTGCTGGTGTTTTACTGTTTATTTTTTATTTATTTATGGGTACCAAACAGTAAATGTTGGGGGGAAAGGGATTGTTAGTAGTGGAGACTGAGAATCCCATTACTAGCAATATACCTAACCAGGTCGACCTCCTCGCGGTTCCCTCCGAAAACTATCATGGTTAATTCCTGATGAATTCATCATGATGGGCTAACTGGCCTGTTTTCCGCTAGCGTATCCCGTTAGCGCAGGCGGGGTTACCATTTCATTTTCACTCACCAAAAAAAAAGCAGTAAATGTTAATTGAATATACATCATAGTTTTACGTCATGTGGTCCCGGCATAGACTAGGCTACTCCTTCCTTTCTCGCGAGTGTCATAAGAGCGAAGTTAATGGTCAAGGGATAGGCAGCAGCGTTTAACTTAAAACATCATCAAAGTCTAATTACGATTGCTAACCCGCGTACCAAACGTAGCAACTACTGGCAAAATCTCGCACAAGAGGGCTATGTTCAGCAGTATATAATTAACGGCCGATATGATGATAATGATGATCATTTTTCTATTTATTTATTCATTAAAAATATTTATAACATTATAACAGCAAAAGCCAAATCAATGTTATAAATCTAGTGTGCTAACATACAATGTTATAATAAATATATTTAACTCGACTAGATATTTCTGAGCTGCTTCTAGTATCTTTGGCAGTTATCTTTATCTTACTAAATATATCAGTGATGTTTATAATATTATTTAATAACCGTACTGCGTGAGTTAAGGGAACGTGCTGAAGTAGGTTATTTATTATCATAGTATTACAACAAGAGTATTAAGAGAAATAATTATAGTGCCAATAATAACGAGTAGAGTTATTATTAATAAGGTGTTATTGTATTGAAATGTGGCACATTATTTACCAGAGGGAGACTTTGTACAAAAGTCGATTGCTTGGGTAGCTCTGTCCCATTCGTGTTTCAACTGTGAAGCAGTTGTATATGCATGGCTGTG